TGCAGTCACAAATCGAGGGGTTAACAGCGAGGATAAATGAGGCAGAAGAAAGAGTCACTGATAATTAAAGACAAAATGATGGAAAATAAGGATGCTGAAAAGAAAAAAGACAACTCCTGTATCGTGAAAGGAGACTTTCAGAACTCAGCAATTCCATAAAAGCAAAATATATCCAGATAATTGGGCCCCAGAAGATGAATAGGGCAAGAGAGGGACAAAAGGTTTATTTGAACAAATTATCGCAAACCTTTTTCCAAGGAAGACCTACAAATAGCCAACAGACACATGGCTTGACATCACTCATCATTAGGGAAATATAAATCAAAAGCACAATGAGATCCCACCTGACACCTGTCAGAATGGCTAATATAACTACTCAGGAAACAACAGATGTTGGAGAGGATGTGGAGAAAGGGGAACCCTCTTGCACTGGTGGTGGGAATGTGAACCGGTGCAGCCACGCTGGGAAAATGTGTGGAGGGTCCTCAAATTTTAAAAATAGACCTGCCCTACGACCCAGCAATTGCACTGCTGGGGATTTATCCAAAGGAAACAAACATACTGATTTGAAGGGGCACCTGCACCCCGATGTTCATAGCAGCAATCTCCAGAATAGCCAAACTATGGCAAGAGCCCAGATGTCCATAAATCCCCTATGCTTTCAGCACACTTTTCATTCTTTTTTCTCTTTCTCTTAAGATTGGATGAATTCTACTGCCCTGTCTTCGAGTTTGCAGATCCATTTTTTTCACTTCATCGAGTCTCTATTGAGCCTCTCTATTGACTCTTTCAGTTCAGTATTGTATTCTTCAGCTCTATGATTTGTTTGGAACTTTGCTGAAAGTTCTCACTTTGCACATGCATTGCCCTCTTGACCTCAGTAAGTATCGCTATGATGATTATTTAGAACTCTATAAGGCAAACACTTATTTACATTTCATTAAGATCTGTTTCTGGAGTTTCTTCTTCTGTTTGGAGCTTATTCTTCTGTTTCTTTCATTTTCTTTGACTCTGTCACTTTCTGTGCTTAGATAAAATAGCATTCCCTCCCCCGCTTGACAGAATGATCTCACGTAGGAGATCAGCCCAACCTAAGTTCCTGGCTGCCTCTCAAACTTGTGTGGTTGTCCAAGCAATCTTTTTGTATTTTAATGGCTCGCAGTAGTTGAGTGTGTGCCAAGAACTGACCATGTTCCAAAGGAGAAGATGACAATCAGCAAGCTCCTTCCAGGGACACACAGGGTGATGGGCACATTGTAGCTTGTTCCTCTGTTCTGGGCCCAGGTATACACAGCCACAGTGTGGGCAGGAGGTGCTTCTGTGCTTGTTAAGGACTTTTTGTTTGGTCTGTTGCTGCAGTACCCATGAGCACAGGCCCCACTGGCTACTAGAACCAGGTGATCCAGCAGCCTGTTCCTCAGGTCACTGCTGCAAAAGCTAGGTCCCAGATGTGTTCACAAGCTCCTTCCACGGAGATTCTGGGGACTTGATTTTATGAGAGTGAACTGAAAAGAAGGTGCGAGAAGTGTCTACCAGCTTTCCAGGACTGGGAAGACTGCAGCCGGCCTTTAGTGGCCCGTGAAATTAGAAGGCTGGCCTTCAGGCAGCAACTTTTAAAGTATGCAGATGTACCTCTTCAGGGACTGACTGGAAGATGGATGATTTTGCCTTTCCCTCTGTGTTAAGTCCTGACGGGTGGGGGTGGGGGTCAATCATGATTAGTGCTCACGAGACCACAACTGCTTTTCTTATAGTCTTGTGGGTCTCATGGCACAGCTTTCAGAGCTAGGTATTTGGAAGACCACACCTCCAATGGAAGTCTTGAAAGCTGGGGTGCTCAGTGTGTGGTCCCAGTCTTTCACTCCTCAGGGAGTAGCTAGGGGTTAGGGATTCCCTCTCGACTGTGGCACTGTATGGGGGTGAGGTTTATGGTGAGAATGTGTCTAGCCTTTCTCACCTATTTTGATGTGGGTATTTTCTCATTCTCACAGTATGTATAGTCACTCAGCTAGTTTCTGGACCTGTTTCAGAGAGAATTGCTTACGGGTGGCTGGACGTTTGGGAGTTCAAGAGTCTCCTGTGTCCCTCCAAACACCTTCACTCCAAACTACACTCTCAGTTCCTTCCATTCATTTTTAGAGAAATCCTGATTTATATTTCCTGGAAGCATTTCACTTCAGCAAAATATCTCCTAAGGCACAACGTTCTGAGCAGAAAAACAAATATTTCAAACATGCTCCTACCACTATGAAGAAATGTTGTAAAGTCACTCATAGTAATAAAATTCAAGCTTTCAAAACTATTGGCAGTAGATGCCACAGATTTGACTTACGTGAAGGCTGCCACCGATAGCATCCTAAGTGTCTTTCATATAAACTGTTACCAGAATGGATCTCTTCCTGTCTGTATTTTGGTATTTCAGCTTTGTTGCTGTTGTTTTGTTCTTAATTTTAATTTTAATGCAGGGACTTTATAATTACTCTGTGTTGACTTCAGCCTACTGTGACATAGCAGATACCAGTCAGAACAGAGCCAACGACAGAGCCCCGACAAGGACAAGGAAGACACCTGTTTGATCACCAGTCTATACCCAGAGCCTAGCACAGGACCTGGCACGAGGGACCCACTCAAAACAGTGTGCTCATTCTGATCTAAAGTTGAAACATCTAACTTCTCATCCACTTCACGCTTTCGTTCCCCTTTAACTATGTAGGCTCTACTTTGTCCAGTCAGAGAAGCAGCTTTTTGACCGAGAGGACAAAAACAAACGAGGTGTTCAAAAGCTCTGCTTTCTCCCCATATTCGGTTACATCTGTCCTAAGAATTGTGTTTCTCTCGTGTTCACTTTCTCACATAAGAAATGCACTGAAAATAAATTACAACGAACTTTCACTACTTAATTCCTATGACTGCTCCCTCACCACAGAAGGAACTTAATGGTGGATGATATAAGAAAGTGAGAAGAGCACAGGATCTGGAGGGAGAACTTTTGGGTTTAAGCCCAGGTTATTCTATTTCATGATTATTCACATGTGATCTCAAATCAGTACTTCAACCTTTCTAAACCACGGTTTCCTCATCTACAAAATGAGAATAAGATCAATAGGTTTTTACATGGTGATTTAAGAAATAAACATGAAGGGATCCCTGGGTGGCTCAGTGGTTGAGTGTCTGCCTTCAGCTCAGGGCGTGACCCCGGGGTCCCAGGATCAAGTCCCACATCTAGCTCCCTGCAAGGAGCCTGCTTCTCCCTCTGCCTGTGTCCCTGCCTCTCTCTGGGTCTCTCATGAATAAATAAATACAATCTTAAAAAAAAAGAAACATAAAAAATTGGGAAGAATAATAAGGTAAAAAAATGTATATAAATGTTATCATCTAATGTTTTTCTAGCTCTTGTTACTACCTCATACTCTACATTTGCCTTCATTTGTTTATTGTCTGTCTCTTATCACTAAAATATAAGCTCCAAAACCTCTGCTTTTAGAGATCTCATTCACTGCTTTATTTTTTTTTAAGATTTTATTTATTCATAGAGACACAGAGAGAGAGAGAGGCAGAGACACAGGCAGAGGGAGAAGCAGGCTCCATGCAGGGAGCCCAACGTGGGACTCGATACCGGGACCCCAGGATCACGCCCTGGGCTGAAGGAGGCGCTAAACCACTGAGCCACCAGGGCTGCCCTCGTTCACTACTTTATACACAATGACCTGAAAAGTGCCTAAGTGGCACATAGTAGATGCTAAAAACATTTACTGGCTGACTCAATGAATAAACAAATGACCTCATTTTCAGCACTTTGCTAATTACAGACAGCTTACCACTTCTAACTCTGGATTCCACCGGTTTTATTGCCTCCTCATTCTTCTTCCATGATCAATGTTATTAGCATCTATTTTAGTGTGGACTCTGCTGGGAATTACAGTCCCTCCTCCTCTTCTCTTGGAGTGCACTCGCCCCAACCCCTGCATGTCTCTCAGCTACTTGTACTGCTTCCTGATTTTGGCCCAGTCATCTGAAGGCTGGATACCCATCCCTTTGTACTCTTCTCTAAATCTCTGCTGTCTTAGACTACAGGGAGGAGAATCAGGGATTTGACAGTTTTTAGAACCCCAGGCATTATTTTATATGGACGGCAACTAACAGATGCTTTTTTGCTCCTAATACCACATATCTCAGTCCTGTGCAAAGTGAAGCAAGTAACCACGGATCTCAGCTGATGCTAGAAGCCAATGCTACCCTCTGATCTCCAGTTACCCACTAATAGTTTTACTACAAGTAGCATTTCCTATCTTATGTTTATTTACACCCATGTCTTTCTCACTGGATCAGAAGTAGTTACAGGTGGATGGGGCCATGAATGAAGGGTTAACATAAACCTCTGTCTTGGCCCATGCAAACTGACTTCAGGTCCACTTGAAAACCAGATCAAGGCAGAATGTTATCCACGCTATCAGGTAGATCGTTCTGGTTAAAATGGCCTCCGATTAGCAAACTGTATCTGGGTTGGACGACTATAATCCTAGACAAATCCAACTAGAGACACAGCTTCCTGCCTGCAGTGTATCTTGGAACCAAGAGTTCCCTGTAGGACACCCAGAATCTGCACCCATGGGGCTGTGACAGGGGTACCACTTGGTTCCTCTCACGAGACTGAGGCTTCTCCGCCAGGAGGACTCCCATTCCCTGAAACCCGAGCTATCAGTTTGGGCGGGCAAACCCCCAGGACTGCTGTGAGGATTCCTACTGATGCTGCCCTGCTGGCAGGCAATGCTTCTCGTTCCATGTCCTTCTACGGGGCAATGGGCCAGGCATTGTAAGCACTGGGGTTTTATTCAGTTCCACCGCAAACCACCGAGTGCAGGCATTTCAAAGGTCTAACAAATCCAAGTTTTCATTGAACTAATCCCTGATGAGAATGTCCCTCCCCCCCAAAAAAATGAGCTAAAAGTTCCTCGCATGAGCAAGAATCAGAACAGCTCCCGTCTCTGCAATGTCCTTACCTGGAGTGAGAAGAGCGTGTCGTAAGTCTCTTTCTTTATGTGTCTCATGTGAACGGTGGAGAGTGCTGTGGAGGGAAGGGGTATCATGCCAGGTCCTGCACGGGCGCCGCTGGGCAGAGGCCCCACGCTTCCAGGTCCTCCCCCAGGGCCCTCACGCTCTTCCTGTGAACACTTCATGCATGGAGGTTAGCACTAAAGAAGCTGATGCCCACTTGCTTCAGACAAAGTGCTTTCACATGCCTCCCTTCATTCAGCATTTAAATGAGCCCCAGACAGTGAGAAGGGCGGTGGAGTACGTCCCACTATGCTGATGATACATGAAGGCCAAGTGGAGCGACAGCCCAGGGGTGACCAGCCAAGGACCTGGGCTTCACTGCAGGCTCCTTGGCTTCCAACTCAGAACACTGACCTGCCTTCCTGCAAGATGAGGGGCGCCAAAGGGGGGCCGTCAGCAGAGGACAACACGCCTGACAGGCAGCCGGTGGAAGGGCCAGGGGCACTGCCCTCCCGTTCTACTTCTTGGCTTGTCAACCTCCTTCCATTTCCCTAAGTATCAGTCCACATTTCCTCCTTATGATCTGATTCCATGTTTATCTACCACATTCATTCCCCAAGCGTATCTGCCCCCTGAGCTCCTGGGCTCAGGCCGAGGCAGCCCTTTCTCTACCGCTGTCTCCACTTCCTGTTGTTCTTTACGCTGACCCCGGCCAGGCCCCACTCTGGCCACTAAGCACTGGAGAGGACGGAGCAAGTGCTCTGCGTTGCTGTTGCTCTGGACGTAATGGCTGCTGACGTGGAGATGGAAGCACTGGCTCCCTACCTCAGCCCCACCACTTTTTCCTAAAAACTATGGGGCCCCAGGGCACCTGCGTGGCTCAGGCAGGGAAGCGGCTGACCTCAGCCCCAGTTGCGATCTCGGGGTCCCAGGATCGGGGCATCAGCCTCTGCGCTCAGCGGGGAATCTGCTTCTCTACCCCTCCCCCTACTCACATTGTCTCTCTTTCTCTCACTCAAGTAAATAAAATCTTTAAAAACAAAAATCCCAAAAAACCTATGGGGCCTCATGCATGGGAAATGGAGAAATAAAAGCATCAGAAGGACCGCTGTTGTGTTTCCGACCTCACGGTACAGGAGACAGAGAAAAGAGAAGTTGTACCCTGTGTCAAGTGGCCTCTGGTCAGCGCTTCTCCGTCATCTCCGGTCATAAGCAACACCTTAATCCCTCTCGTAACCAGGGCCTGGGGAGAAAGTCGGTAAGGTAAACGGACTGTCTCTGGTCCCATGGGATGCCTTCTCTCTAGGAAGAAAAATCATGGTGATAAAAATACTGGAATGATACTGGGAAGTGGAGAAAAAGGCTGAATTCCCCATCCAACTACTTGTAAGTTAGTAAATTGGAACAAAAATGTCACCCCTGCCTCAGCCATGCTCGGGGACACCAAACTGACAATGCAAATGTCCCGCCTAGAGGAAGAAGCAGGGGACGGTTCGCACCCACCTTAGCCCAGCGCCTTCCCCTAAGGACCCGAGCCCTACGCCAGGACACAGCCCAGGATCCGGCCTTCCCCCGGGACAGGCAGAGGCCGGGAGGGCCCAGGACAGCAAGGACGCTCCTGCCCCGAGCTGAGCAGATCAGCGGCCCCGCCCGGAGCCTCCAGGCCCTGCAGACGGAGAGCTCTGGAGCTACTGCGGGAGCTGAATCCAGGGCTCCAGAGCTGGCCCCGCCACTGGGGTTGTTCCTCCTGGGGCCTCACGGGGTAAACAACCCCTACTGAGCCCTGCACCAGGCAGAGGCAGATCAGCTCCCCCAAGTGCTCACACTTGAAAATCAGCACAGCAGGCCCCTCCCCCAGAAGACCAGCTGGACGGACCAGTTCCAGGGGAAGTCAAGGGACTTAAAGTCTACAGAATCAGAAGATACTCCCCCGTGTTTTTTTGTTTTTTTTTTTCTTTTTTCTTTTCTTTTTGATTTCTGATTGCTTCCCCCACCCCCGTTTTTTTCACCTTTCTTTCTTTTTCTTTCTCTTTTTCTTCTTTTTTTCCCTTTTTTCTTCTTTTTCTTTTTTCTTTTTCTCTTTTCTTTCCTTCTCTCTCTTTCTCTCCTTTTCCCAATACAACTTGTTTTTGGCCACTCTGCACTGAGCAAAATGACTAGAAGGAAAACCTCACCTCAAAAGAAAGAATCAGAAACAGCCCTCTCTCCCACAGAGTTACAAAATCTGGATTACAATTCAATGTCAGAAAGTCAATTCAGAAGCACTATTATACAGCTACTGGTAGCTCTAGAAAAAAGCATTAAGGACTCACGAGACTTCATGACTGCAGAATTTAGATCCAATCAGGCAGAAATTAAAAATCAATTGAATGAGATGCAATCCAAACTAGAAGTCCTAAGGACGAGGGTTAACGAGGTGGAAGAACGAGTGAGTGACATAGAAGACAAGTTAATGGCAAAGAGGGAAACTGAGGAAAAAAGAGACAAACAATTAAAAGACCATGAAGACAGATTAAGGGAAATAAATGACAGCCTAAGGAAGAAAAGCCTACGTTTAATTGGGGTTCCTGAGGGTGCCGAAAGGGACAGAGGGACAGAATATGTATTTGAACAAATCCTAGCTGAAAACTTCCCCAATCTGGGAAGGGAAACAGGCATTCAGATCCAGGAAATAGAGAGATCCCCCCCTAAAATCAATAAAAAGCGTTCAACACCTCAACATTTAATAGTGAAGCTTGCAAATTCCAAAGATAAAGAGAAGATCCTTAAAGCAGCAAGAGACAAGAAGTCCCTGACTTTTATGGGGAGGAGTATTAGGGTAACAGCAGACCTCTCCACAGAGACCTGACAGGCCAGAAAGGGCTGGCAGGATATACTCAGGGTCCTAAATGAGAAGAACATGCAACCAAGAATACTTTATCCAGCAAGGCTCTCATTCAAAATGGAAGGAGAGATAAAGAGCTTCCAAGACAGGAAGGGACTGAAAGAATATGTGACCTCCAAACCAGCTCTGCAAGAAATTTTAAGGGGGACTCTTAAAATTCCCCTTTAAGAAGAAGTTCAGTGGAACAATCCACAAAAACAAGGACTAAATAGATATCATGATGACACTAAACTCATATCTGTCAATAGTAACTCTGAACATGAACGGGCTTAATGACCCCATCAAAAGGCGCAGGGTTTCAGACTGGATAAAAAAGCAGGACCCATCTATTTTCTGTCTACAAGAGACTCATTTTAGACAGAAGGACACCTACAACTTGAAAATAAAAGGTTGGAGAACCATTTACCATTCAAATGGTTCTCAAAAGAAAGCAGGGGTAGCCATCCTTATATCAGATAAACTAAAATTTACCCCGAAGACTGTAGTGAGAGACGAAGAGGGACACTATATCATACTTAAAGGATCTATCCAGCAAGAGGACTTAACAATCCTCAATATATATGCCCCGAATGTGGGAGCTGCCAAATACTTAAACGAATTATTAACTAAAGTGAAGAAATACTTAGATAATAATACACTTATACTTGGTGACTTCAATCTAGCTCTTTCTACCCTCGACAGGTCTTCTAAGCACAACATCTCCAAAGAAACGAGAGCTTTAAATGATACACTGGACCAGATAGATTTCACAGATATCTACAGAACTTTACATCCAAACTCAACTGAATACACATTTTTCTCAAGTGCACATGGAACTTTCTCCAGAATAGACCACATACTGGGTCACAAATCGGGTCTGAACCGATACCAAAAGATTGGGATCGTCCCCTGCATATTCTCAGACCATAACGCCTTGAAATTAGAACTCAATCACAAGAAGAAGTTTGGAAGGCCATCATATACGTGGAGGTTAAGGACCATCCTGCTAAAAGATAAAAGATCCTGGTCAACCAGGAAATTAAGGAAGAATTAAAAAGATTCATGGAAACTAATGAGAATGAAGATACAACCGTTCAAAATCTTTGGGATGCAGCAAAAGCAGTCCTGAGGGGGAAATACATCGCAATACAAGCATCCATTCAAAAACTGGAAAGAACTCAAATACAAAAGCTAACCTTACACATAAAGGAGCTAGAGAAAAAACAGGAAATGGACCCGATGCCCAGCAGAAGAAGAGAATTAATTAAAATTCGAGCAGAACTCAACGAAATTGAGACCAGAAGAACTGTGGAACAGATCAATAGAACCAGGAGTTGGTTCTTTGAAAGAATTAATAAGATAGATAAACCATTAGCCAACCTTATTAAAAAGAAGAGAGAGAAGACTCAAATTAATAAAATCATGAATGAGAAAGGAGAGATCACTACCAACGCCAAGGAAATACAAACGATTTTAAAAACATATTATGAACAGCTCTACGCCAATAAATTAGGCAATCTAGAAGAAATGGACGCATTCCTGGAAAGCCACAAACTACCAAAACTGGAGCAGGAAGAAATAGAAAACCTGAACAGGCCAATAACCAGGGAGGAAATTGAAGAAGTCATCAAAAACCTCCCAAGACACAAGAGTCCAGGGCCAGATGGCTTCCCTGGGGAATTCTATCAAACGTTTAAAGAAGAAATCATACCTATTCTACTAAAGCTGTTTGGAAAGATAGAAAGAGATGGAGAACTTCCAAATTCGTTCTATGAGGCCAGCATCACCTTAATTCCAAAACCAGAGAAAGACCCCACCAAAAAGGAGAATTACAGACCAATATCCCTAATGAACATGGATGCAAAAATTCTCAACAAGATACTAGCCAATAGGATCCAACAACACATTAAGAAAATTATTCACCATGACCAAGTAGGATTTATCCCCGGGACACAAGGCTGGTTCAACACTCGTAAAACAATCAATGTGATTCATCATATCAGCAAGAGAAAAACCAAGAACCATATGATCCTCTCATTAGATGCAGAGAAAGCATTTGACAAAATACAGCATCCATTCCTGATCAAAACTCTTCAGAGTGTAGGGATAGAGGGAACTTTCCTCGACATCTTAAAAGCCATCTACGAAAAGCCCACAGCAAATATCATTCTCAATGGGGAAGCACTGGGAGCCTTTCCCCTAAGATCAGGAACAAGACAGGGATGTCCACTCTCACCACTGCTATTCAACATAGTACTGGAAGTCCTAGCCTCAGCAATCAGACAACAAAAAGACATTAAAGGCATTCAAATTGGCAAAGAAGAAGTCAAACTCTCCCTCTTCGCCGATGACATGATACTCTACATAGAAAACCCAAAAGCCTCCACCCCAAGATTGCTAGAACTCATACAGCAATTTGGTAGCGTGGCAGGATACAAAATCAAGTCCCAGAAATCAATAGCATTTCTATACACTAACAATGAGACTGAAGAAAGAGAAATTAAGGAGTCAATCCCATTTACAATTGCACCCAAAAGTATAAGATACCTAGGAATAAACCTAACCAATACCCTCAAAACTATAGAACACTTCTGAAAGAAATTGAGGAAGACACAAAGAGATGGAAAAATATTCCATGCTCATGGATTGGCAGAATTAATACTGTGAAAATGTCAATGTTACCCAGGGCAATTTACACGTTTAATGCAATCCCTATCAAAATACCATGGACTTTCTTCAGAGACTTAGAACAAATTATTTTAAGATTTGTGTGGAATCAGAAAAGACCCCGAATAGCCAGGGGAATTTTAAAAAAGAAAACCATTTCTGGGGGCATCACAATGCCAGATTTCAGGTTGTACTACAAAGCTGTGGTCATCAAGACAGTGTGGTACTGGCACAAAAACAGACACATAGATCAATGGAACAGAAGAGAGAACCCAGAAGTGGACCCTGAACTTTATGGTCAACTAATATTCGATAAAGGAGGAAAGACGATCCACTGGAAGAAAGACAGTCTCTTCAATAAGTGGTGCTGGGAAAATTGGACATCCACGTGCAGAAGAATGAAACTAGACCACTCTCTTACACCAGACACAAAGATAAACTCAAAATGGATGAAAGATCTAAATGTGAGACAAGATTCCATCAAAATCCTAGAGGATAACACAGGCAACACCCTTTTTGAACTTGGCCACAGTAACTTCTTGCAAGATACATCCACAAAAGCAAAAGAAACAAAAGCAAAAATGAACTATTGGGACTTCATCAAGATAAGAAGCTTTTGCACAGCAAAGGATACAGTCAACAAAACTCAAAGACAACCTACAGAATGGGAGAAGATATTTGCAAATAACATATCAGATAAAGGGCTAGTTTCC